CCGCGGTGTGCGAGCCCCTGGCCAGCAGGACCGAGTTCCCCGATCCCCGTGCACCCCGCCCTCCCCAGGAGCATCCCTGGGAGGCTGCAGCCCGCATCCCACGGAGCAGACATCTCTGGGCGGACTTCCAGGAGCTTGGGAGCCAAGCCACCCTGAAGTCTCTGTCTTAGATAGGCTTTGTTCAAAGATAAATAGAATTTATCAAAAGATAACAGATAAAGATGATAAATAGCACTATTTAGGTTCACTTCCAGTTGTCTTCATTGAAATATCCATCTCTGGTGAATGTGAGATGCCTGTACAGGGACTTGGAGCCTACCAGGGAAGGTCTTGTTTTTCAGAGACCTTAAATTTCACAGAGCCCAGGGAAACTAAAAACCTCTATCGTATTATTTAGCCCACAGGGACAAGGCTTATGCCCCCATGTCTCCCTTTTCCCCATAACTGCGACCCTGTCGCAGTATGGATCCTCACACCGTGTGGTCACGCAGTTCAATCCTGCAATTTCTTCTCCTGGTACCTCGTTCCTGCTGGTGGGAGAGGGAGAATCCGGCCACGGGGCCGGGGTGGCTGCCGCTGCTGGGAGCAGGGCGGATCTATGTCATGGTCCGTCCTTCCTTCTGTTTCCCAGGTCTCTGGGAAGATGGATGAGAACGATTTTGTAGCGGTGACCAGTACCAACGCTGCCAAGATCTTCAACTGCTACCCCAGGAAGGGACGCGTCGCTGTGGGCGCTGACGCAGACTTGGTTTTGTGGAACCCCAAGGCTACCAAAATCATCTCAGCAAAAACCCACAATCTGGTAAAATTAATTTCTTGAGCTGGTTTTAGAGTCAGAAGAGAGCAGTAAAGCAATGGGTTTCTTCCGATGGCAAAGATCAGTGCATTCACCAGGGGAGGAGCTGTGGATGGGGATGAGGGGATGAAGGACCTCGCATTTCCCGTTTGAAATATAAGCACATGAAATATCCTTTGGTTACTGTAAAGCTGGATAATTGGGAAGGGGTGGGATTGTACCCGAGTCGCAGAGTGACTGCTCTGAGGCAGTCTGCCCCTGGGACACGAATTTGCCAATCAGTGTATCCGCTGTGGGCTGGGGTAATGGAAGTGCTGAACTTGTTTTAAATATTAAACCATCTTTAGTTTGATATATCAGCATCCTTCCCAAAGAGCCAGACCCCTCCGGTCCTCCACGGACACTGTGCAGGAAGGACTCATTCGGGAGCGATTCGGGTGGTAAACACCTTGATGGCTTTGTAATTTGGAAAATTAATTTCCACCATGAGCCTCAGACAGAAAGGTGCAGCTGAAAGAGAGGCAGGGATGAGGGGCTGTGAGGAACGTTGGCGACACAGCTGATTGAAGTTAGTAGAAACATTTTTGACCCTTTTTTTTTTTTTACCAAAACATTTTTATGGAAGAAAATTATCACTATGATTGAAATACTCAGATGTTTTCTTTAAAAAATAGAAATTGCTTTTCTTTTGATCCAAAAAATTCAGTTTTGTTTTTTTATAATGCCGCATTTTTTCACTGTAAACTTTTTTTTTGGTAGTTTGTTAGTGGTAGTAATGGGAGCATTTGAAGAAAGTGGCACAATTTTGCATTTCCCACAAGACAGACCTGACTTTCTCTACCTGTTTTGGTAGAAGGCACAGTGACTTGGAAGAAACACCAAGAACTTCTGTCCCCAAGTGGAGAAGTTAAGCAGGGCTCTTCTGGGGCTGAGAGACAATTGTTCACGTATGGTAAAAGTCTCATTTGCTCCAGGAGTGCTGCATGTCTTTTGGGCAATTACTGAGTATTTTTGGGATTTAGTCTCTCTGTTCCAGTTTGCTTTAGTTCATGCAGTTAGAAGAACCTTATTACATGAAATGTGAAGGGTCAGTTAAGTACAACTGATGGTGCACGAGGAGCAATGTACAGAAATGGGGTTGTGTGTAGAGCTGGCCAGACCATCACCTTCTCTTCTTAAATCTTAACCATGTTGAATATCTTGGTTTGTTCTCTGCAGAACGTGGAGTACAACATATTCGAAGGCACAGAGTGCCACGGGATTCCCACCGTGGTCATAAGTCAAGGAAAAGTTGTTCTTGAAGATGGAAACCTGGTTGTCACCCAGGGGTCAGGTCGCTTCATTCCTAGAAAGACGTTCCCTGATTTCGTTTATAAAAGGATAAAAGCAAGAAACAGGGTAAGGAGAATTTTATTTGCAATAATCCTGTATTTTCATCACGATCTCTCTGCACTGTTGTATTGCTGTCGCTGTACGGCGAGCCTGCTCACGGAATAGGCAGCAGAAACAAGAATATTATTGATGTTATTTCTTCTCAGGCCTTCAAAACTTGTAAGGCTGTCATGGAACTGCTTTGGGGTGTGGCTTGGCACATTAATCAGTAATCGTAATGCTGTGTTAGTGTTATGGCTAATAATAATTAGCTAGTGTTACAGCTAATAATACTAGTGTTATTTACCTGTTACAAAGTTGCAAAGCAAAACTATGGCTTCTAGCAAACCTGGTTTGGTTTTGTTTGCATTGAGGTAGAAGGGAGGAGTTCCCCTCCTGCCTGTAGTAGAAAAGTGTATGTTACTGCATTTCCAGTGCTGCTCTGCGTCTGTCAAAGACTAATGGTGTAGCCTTCAGTGGTTACTGGAAATTCAGTCAGATAAATCTTTCCGTGTGCTGGCACAGCTGTTTTAGGCGATGGGAAGATGTGCAAATATATAAAAAACTTCTTAACAGCTCTGCCCTCCTCCCCTTTTCCACGTGTTAGTGCAGACGTTTTCATAGATTCATAGATTTCATAGATTTCTAGGTTGGAAAAGACCTTAGAGATCATCCAGTCCAACCTTCCCTAATCCCCCATTAAACCATATCGCTAAGTAGATCATCCACCCTGTTCTTAAACACATCCAGGTGTGGGGCCCCACCCCCCCCCCTGCCCAGCCTATTCCAGTGGCTGACAACCCTTTCAGAGAAGAAACACTTCCTGACATCCAACCTGAACCTCCCCTGACTAAGCTTATACCCATCATTACATCATTTCATTACACATTGTCGATGGAGGTAGAGCAGAAACCCTTAACCCCAATTACTGAGGCACCAGTAGTGCTGGCAGCTGCCGCAGGAACCCCCAGTGCTGGGGGGAGCCCGGGGGGAGCCCAGAGGTGCCTCCTGGGGTGCCTCTGGAGTCAGGGTGGGATGGGATGGGAGCCTGCTGGGTCCCTGCAGGATGGGGAGCGATGGAGCCTGCCAGGTCACGGCT